GGGGAGAGGGGGAGAGAGGGAGAGGGAGGGGGAGAGGGGGAGAGGGAGAGAAGGAGGGATAGATTTATTCCTGTAGTACAGCAGTTAATAAACTTTTTAAACCTTATGGATTTGGCTATGTAAAGCCTAAGTACATCTATTTGCATAAAATAATGCAGAAGAAACACAATTAGGATAATTTGACATAGATGTGCATCCAAAGTTTTACTCTTCTGCTACAAAAATAGCACAAGTATAAACACATTAATAGACAACAGTGACTAAAAATAATTCAACTCACAAAAGTAGGTAGAGGGCCAGGGATCTAGCTCAGTGGTTCCACCGCCTGCCTCAAAAGCGCAAGACCCAAGAGTTTGATCCCCGGTACCAACAACAACAACAACAAAAAAGTAGGTAGAATTCCAAGAATTCTACATGGGCAAAGGACTTCATATTTTACTAGCAGCTATATAAATTCAGGGTAAACTGAAAACTCATAGCCAGGGTTTAAATTAGCATATTTTTAAACCAAACAATTTTTATCTTAAGCCATCAAGATAAAATAAAGCAGCAGAAAATGACAAAGTACAGCTTAAAGATCTTATATTAGAATAGACACATTCCTAGAGTTCTGAGTAGTTTGTAAGTAGTATATTTTGTAATAATTAATATGCTTTTTACAACACAGTAAGAAATATCAGGGCTATACTTAAAGTTTAAAATACACAACTGGGAGCAACTCCATAAATATTACCTGCATAGCACTCTTGCCCATTTTAACAACTTCAAATAACATCATGTTTTCCACTCCATTCTGTTGGTGATGACCATTCATTCGGTTTGGACCAGAAGGGGGTTTCCCTCCTCCATTTCCACCTTTGCTTTTTTCTCCTGGGCCCTTTTTGCCTTTTTTACAAGTCTGCATAAAAAATATAAATAGGTTAAATTATATCACTATCTTTGAGTTTAAAACAAAGACACTGTAGAAGCAGCTGACAGGATAACAATTATAACATACATAAACTTGACCTATATGAGAATGTCATACAACACAAGAAAATTATGATTGTGACAGCTTCTTTGTAGCTTCTTTTTTCATTTATACTACTGAAAGACCCACATTACATTATAGTTATTAGAAGCACAGCAGCAGACAGACTGTGGAGGTCCAAATTTCTCCTCCTATTAGCTGAGCAATCTTGGGAAAGTTACTTAACCACACTGTGCTTCAAAGACTTTTTCTAATTTTTAAAATAGAGGATACAAATTATACCTTCCTCAAAGTCTTGCTGCGATAATGAAAATGTAAAGTATTTGTTAGCAATATGCATAGCACATAATATCCGAAAATATTATCACTGAAAATAAGAAAATATACAGTGAACAGCTCAATAAATGTTGCTTGAATCTAAATCTGCTGGAAAGACTGGATTTGAACCAATTTCCAAAGAGAACCAATTGTGAAAATTATACGAAATCACAGCATTAAAAGCCCTAAAGTATCAACAAAGTTTGAAAATGACTGCAAAAAAAAAAAACCCATAGAAATTCCTACAAAAGAGTATAACAGAGTGGTTATATCCAAGCTTTATAATAGTCCCCTATGTGTTCTGGGGTGCAGTGTGAAAATGGGCAGCAAGAATAACAAATGCCTTTATCAAGTAAGTTATTCATACTTAGTTCAACGTTTTAACTTAATTTCTCTTAGCTTTATAAATCACTGCAGTGCTATAAACAGGAATTCTGAACATTATAAATAGGTCTATGAACCTCATTCTTGTCCTGGGTTTTCTCTCCAACACTTATGAAAATTCAATTAATGAACACTGTGGAAATGAAGCCCCGTTATGAGCAAATTGTCAGTAATGGCAGTAGGATCTTCATCAGTCAGTGAAAAGGTTACCTGCGTAACTCAATTATAAAATACTCCCACAGCTTTTATACCCGGTTAAAGAAAAACAACAGGGCTGGAAAATGTAGCTCAGTGGTAGAGTGCTTGCCTACCATGCATGAGCTCTGGGTGGTATACACTATAATGTCTTGGGATAGTATGGCAGGAGGATTACAAATTCAAGGCCAGCCTGGACAACTTAGGAAGATGCTACTCAAAATTTAAAAAGGGCTGGCTGGGAATGTAATTGAGTGATAGAGTACTTACCTAGCATGCATGGGGCCCCTAGGACGAATCCCCAGCAGCACAAATTTTGTAAAATGCCAGGACTAGATTAAAATCTTTACAGAAAAAGTTCTCTTATCCCCTGGATTTTATTCTTTCAAATGTCTTTTAGTCCTACACATTTTAATGATCTACACAACAAAGGTAAGCAAACTTTCTGTAAATTATCAAGTAATAAATGTTTCAGGCATTGTGGGCCACATACCATCTCTGTTGCATATTCCTTATTTGTAAAACACTTTTAAAATGTAAAAATCATTCTTAGCTTGTGGACACTACAAAAGTGGCCATACTTTGTAAACCCCTGATCTATTAGCCACACTTACAAATTTCTTTCTATTGACAGCTTGCGTATATCTGTACATTACTCCACAGATGGACCTTCCTCTTTCTTCCACCTCTCAACCACCCTATTCTGATCAGTTACTTCAAATCCCTAATGCCTCAAAGATACTGCCTGTTAGTTTACTGTTTTAATGAAATTCAGTCTTTGTGAATCTAAGTCATTACCAATTGTAAAATGAAAGGCTTTTGTGCTAAAAAGAATTTCATGGGTAAGGTTAAAAGATCTTTACAAAGAACAGACTCAAAAAAAAAAGAATAGACTCAGAGTATAAAATGCTAATTAACATGGTGCTATATATTTGCAAATTATCATAAGTCTCAATATTCCCTGTCAGCATGAAAAATTAATAAGTACAATTAAAATGGCTTGAAGGATATGCTGTGCTAGAGAAAATATACGTACAAGGAGTGATAATACAAGGGACGAATAAGAAACAAACAGTATTTAGCTCAGTGGTTGCGCCACCTGCCTCACAAGCACAAGGTCCTGAATTTGATCCCTGGTACCCAAACAAACAAAAAAAAAGGAAGTGTTGTTTAATTCAGAGTTGTTCAAATATTAAATTAGGTAACATAAATTTGTACGGTATGTGGAACATGCATAGTATAGTACTAAAACATAATTATTATAAATTCTTGATCTCAGCCCCTAAGACATCACCCACAGCAGTGGCTACATAAAGTTAACCTGTGTCACAAAAACTTTAGAGAGGCTGAAGATGCAGCAACAGTGATAGCAAGCATGTTCTTCACATAAGAGGCCCTGGGTTCCATCCCCATTCACCATGCAGAAAACAAAAAATCTTTAGAGACTCCTCTATTCAGATTCCATGGAGGATCTTATCTCAAATTATATATTTAATCAAAAGTAAAAGCAGATGTAAAAACACAGTTTTCCAATGAACAACCATATATCGCCCACTAGAATTATGCATATATTTGTTTGGGACAATCATAAGTTAACATTTCCATTCACTTCTGTCTGTCTGTATCTGTGTCTGTCTCTCTGTCTGACTCACTCACACTCTACCCCCACCCCATCTACTTAAGGAACTAAGACAACATAAAAATTATAAACACATAAATTATAAGCACCCTAAGAAATATTCCATGGGCTAAATAAATGTGATGTTGTGCTACCATTAATAATTAGAGGTATAGTCACTGAAGGGAAAGTTGTTGACAATATACCACTGCATTTTAGAGGCATATTTTATATAGTTTGCATGGTATGATTACATTAAGTAAAATTCTGTGTCCAAGTTTATAAACAGATACATAAAAGTATGTTCATCAAAATGTCTAAGGAATAAATTACCTGAGTGACGGGCTATGGGAAAACTTCATTTTATTTATTGTACATTTTTGTATGGTTTAGACTTTTTCAGTGTATGCCATGAAAAAATATAAATCCAAAATTCAATTTGGGAAAAATGCTTAACAACTAAAACAAGTCATTTTTTGAACAATATATTTGCATGCAAGGAGTCAAATGTATTTCGAGATGTTCCTTGTTGAAAGAACTACCTGTTTAGTGACTGTTCGGATTTACAACCTGTCTTTTTTGGGTATAGTTCTGTATATCTTGTTTATACAGCCTCAGTGTCTTTTTTTGTACAGTACACCTTGTTTATTCAGTACAATAATTTTTGCTGATTGCACGGTACAGTAAAGTACTATAGTTTTATGTTCTGTTATACACTGCAATACTGAATGTAAGAGTTATGTAAATAAAAGCAAAATCATCAAGTTGGGGTTTCCTTTGTTCTGAATATTATAATGTACATAGTATATACAATTCCTCACTTAGCGACCAATTCATTTAACAACCTAATCACAGGAACAGAGCTCAGTCTTTAAATGAGGAATGTCTGAACATGAATGCAGTCAAATGTACATTCCAAAACAGCACGTTATCTATAGTTCTCATAAAGCCACTCATAACCTAAACTTGCATTTGATTGACTCAAAATTTAACTTTGTTAGTCTTTACAGTCGGTGTTACTTATAAAGGGTAAAATGATTCCTGTATATTACCTGTTAAACGATTTAAATTGGTTGTTACTTTTTTGTTTTTTGCTTTTTAAAAACAGGGTAGCAATGTAGCTCAGGCTGGCCTTGAACTCACTATGTAGCCCAGGCTAATCGCAAACTCAATTATCCTCCTGTCTCAGCCTCCTGGGATTATAGGTGTGCATCATTATGCCTAGTTTATATATTACATTTTTAGGGTGCTTTCAGAGTAAAAACAAAAAAATCATGTTATTTTTGCCAAAATTAAAGCAAAGCAATACATCTATTATATATTTATGGAAAAATAAAAATAAAGCCAGTCAAACCACATTTTGTGTAACATACTATTGCTTTTACAAAATAAACTATTAGAAACAATGATATGTTGTTAATTTCAACTTTATAGCAGTACATACAGATAACCAAAAGCTATTTGGTCTAGAAGCATAAATGATCACCTGGTATGTATTCAGAAGGTTTAATACAGGTTTAAAATACCAATCAGGCCCCAAACAAGCCATTTTTAAAAGATAAAATTCCACCTGTCTGTCTGTCTCTCTCATACACACACAATCAATCCAATCAATCAATCAATCTCTCTCTCTCTCTCTCTCATTCAATTTTAGGAACCAAAATTAAGTCATATATTTGGTACATACTTTTCCTTTGCCTTGCTTTTGGTTTTTTCCTTCAATGTCCTCAAAATCTGTGTCAGAAGAAAAATGTGTTTCTGACTCCCTGAAACAAAAATAAGCAAACATTTAAAACCATCCTTAAAAACATACATAGAGTTTTTATTTATGAAACATTTTCTAAATGAAAGGATTGGGTAACTCATTACAATACATACTATAAGCATTAAAAGTAACTAAGATGCTTTCTCAAAACATCACAGCACAGTATATTACTATACAAGATTACATAACCAACTACAAAAACAGTACACTAAAATACAAATATCTAAACCCTTTTAAGTTTTATTCATTTTTAACCAATAAAAAGTAAACCAGTGGGCACTCAAAATTTAGGGCTGAGAACTGCAGTGTTCTGTTACAATGTCTGGTTCCATTTTCTGTTTCAAAGACCACTGCACTTAGGGGAAACTATTTTAACACTCGGAATTAGACTCATTTTTTTAGGGAATTTTAGAAATATTATCGATCGTCTGACCTCTCCTACCTCACTCAAAAATATTTATAAATTTAAGTGTGAATTACTATATAAAACATGTATTTCTGAAAGGATATGTATACAACATTTTAAGAAATTAAATATTTGAAACAGTAGAGAAGCGTGTTAAATACTTAAACTCCTTTAAGCAGAAGTCAGAAGAAACAATTCTACCACTAAATAACTAGTCGTGTGCAAGCGAAAATATCTCAGTGTGCTCATCTGTAACATGTAAACACAGGGAAGAATGAAATCTCTAAAGCCTCTTCACTATCTAACACATACAGTAAATCTGTAGTCCTAAAAAGTGACCCTTTGTATAATTTTGATTTTCTCACACACATAAGGAAATAGTGATTTAGATAAACGTGATCTTTTCCATATGTATAAACATGGGTCTAGGTAGTAACATATGCACACTTAAATACTTAAAGCAAGGCCTACTTACATTGGTTTTTGGGTCACACCGGACTTTATAATTGGGCCACATCCATAATAGATAAACATTTTACCACACTAAATGTGTAAATACAGTTCTAGTTTTGCTTAAAATAAATGGACTCAAATGGAAAGGCTATCTTCTCAATCTAGATTTCTTTTAATTTTGTTTTTACTGCTACAATAACCAGCTGTCCAGAGGCTGTGAGGTAGAACATTTCATAAACCTAAAGTAATGGTTATGATGCTATCAGGAAAATACTACTATTTATAGCATTTACCTACAAAGTAATTTAAACACTCTATTGAAGATAATGGGAATCCTAACCATGTCCTATCATGATGAGGAAAGAACTTGTGATAAATACCATTTCTTGGAGTTCATCCACCAAAAATTGAATGACTATTGAGAATGACTCAGTTTCCTAGCTTAGTAACTGTTATATGTCTTGTAAGTCTTATAACTGAGCTAGGAGATTAGGTGTTGTGCAAGTGTCTTGGGAAGACAGAACTATTATTTATGCACCAAGATATTTAAAAGCATTTTAAATTTTTTTTTTGGCCAGGACATATAGGCACATGAGAAGAATACTGATGACAGCAATCTTTTTAAAATGCAGCATGCATGAATTTCAGGGTTAATAGTCATTCAGTTTTTGGTGATAAACAACAGTCACCAATGTTCATGATATTACAATGGCCACCAAAGGCTCAGATATACTCTTCATCTTCCAGGCTATCCCAACTACAAGAATGAGCCACTAAAGGTCTGACTGCTAACACTAAAACCTTCTGAAAAAAAAAATAAGACCTTCTGAAGAAAGCTGAAGTAAATAATCCAAATAGGGCTCTAAAATAACTTTCAATTAGAAAAAAATACTCTCCTAAGCCTTCCTTTCTCTGATGCTTTACTACGTTTTAAGACTAAAAGAACAAGAGACCTTAGGTAAAATAACACATTTATATGTTGATGGAGGATACTGGATTAACCCCTTGGTAATCTGAAACATCACGAGTTACCTATCACAAAACTGAATCTTATGCTCCTGTTTACTATCCCCACCAACTCCACATATCCAACCAAATGCTAGATTTATTCTACCCAACATCAATTTTCTTTTATCCACTATCTATGTCAGGTCCTAATTAATCAAGATATTCTAATAGCCAAATCTAGTCTATGATATGAACTTTTTTAGTATATAATCTCTTTTTTTAGTATACAATCTCAATACAGCAAAGAAATATAATCTTCTCTTTGTATCTTTAGAAAATATGAGCTCATCCCAGATACTCAGGAGACTGAGACAGCTTGGGCAATCCAGCAAGACCCTGTTTCATAAAGAGCTGGGGTGTAGCTCATTAGTAGAGCATCTCTATTTTGATTGCCAATATTACAAAGAAATAAATAAGGCAAAATAAAGAGTTCATAAAGGTAGACGTATCTAACTTAATTTCTCACAAAGTCAATCAAATACAATATCTTACATACAGTAAAGACTCAATATTTTTAACCAAGGTAATACTTAACTTTACAAAGAAATTAAGACTTGGAATATGTGAAATCCTTACCAAAGGTGCTACTTTTGGAAAATTTAACGTCTTGGATAATTTTAGACTAACAAAGCCAAAATTTAATTTCCTTCTCAGCTATCTTATGTCCTCCATCAAGAAAAAAAACTAGAAATTTTCCTCAAGAACCTTAAAAGAGAACCAGGTATTTTGGAGACAGGCCCATAATCACTGCACTCTGGGAGGCTAAGGCAGAAGGATGGAAACCTCAGAGCCATCCTGGGCAATTTAGCAAGATGCTGTCTCAAAAATTAAAAATAATAAAAGGGCTGGGCCTATAATAAAATAGTAAGCTACCTGCATTCATTTGTACATAAATAACAGGGCCGAGGATTTAGCTCAGTGGCACCACACTTGCCTTGCAAGCGCAAGGTCCCGAGTTTGCTTCCCAGTACCGCAAAAAACGAGGATGATGATGATGATGATGATGATGATGATGATGATGATGATGATGATAATGATGATGATAATAAAAGGCCCTGACTTCAGTTTTCAGGAATACCAAAAACAAATCAAAACTAAAAAAATACATATACACTAGGATTAAAATCACATTTAAAAATCCTACTTTGAGGTCTAGAAATGTGGCTCAGTGGTAGACCATTTCCCTAGCATGCCTGAGGCCTTGGGTTCAATTCCCATAACATATACATACACACATGTGTGTATATGTGTGTGTGTGAGTGTGTGTGTGTAGATATATATATTGGGGGGCGGGAGTACAGGGATCAAACTCAGGACCTTGTGCTTTCGAGGCAGGCACAGTGCCACTGAGCTAAATCCCCAGCCCTGTACATATATATTTTTAAAAATTAGTCGTATCCTTTTATCCAAACATGAAAGTATTAAAAATATGAAAATCTCCATACCATTAGAAATAGACACTGACTGTCATTATGTATAGTCTATCTGTGATGTTCAAATTTTTAGCAACCAAACTTATTTCAAATGAAGTCTCAAAAATAACCTAACGGGGGGGGGGGGGGAGAAGGGAGAGAGACAGAATATATGAGAATGTATCTATGGACAGTTTAAAGAACAACTTTCTACTTAGGCATCTCATGCAACTTGAGCTTAGTATAAAAACCAGTTACATATAGTAGTTCAAATTCCTTAGTACATCAAAAACCAAAGAATAAACAGAATAAAAGTTAATTAAGGAATGCAGGTAGCTTTAAAGACGGGAGTAAAAATCATACCTATGATGAAATCACTTTGTGGACCAATATGCATATAACTTCTTTCTGAGAAAGTTATAGACTGCATGTTCTACTCTCCTATACAGAATTGTTTTAGCCTATCATCATTTGGTTTTGTAACAGAAATATGTCATTACATCCTGAACATTAACCCATGGTATATATTCCTCACTAATGGGAACATTTAACCTCTTAAGAATCTCATGGTGCTCCTTCAAAAAAATCCTTTTGCCAAACCAACCACAGACTTAAAATGGCACAGCAAAAAGTAATAAAATATACACTGGGTAAAAATCATACCACCAAAAGCATGTAATGTTAACTACTACAAAGCCAATGAACATTGATGAAACTGTTTCAAAAATACATACTATTTCACATATTAGTTCTTCTCAAACAAATAAATTTCATCAAAGTTACCATTTCCCATTTTGTGGGGGGGAAAAAGTTAAAATTTACAATATAAATTACTTACTGTAGTAGATTAAAATCAGTTGGTATTTCTGGAGCTGCTATCATTTCTTTATCATCTTCTGGAACACCCCAATATCAGAAATATACTCATATATTTACGTGAGTAAAATGACAGTTTGCTTCTTTCTTCTAGGAAAGATAATTCCTTTAAAGAGGAAAAAAGGACATGCTGACATATCAAGAACATTGGAAAGGGGTATCCACACTTAAAAGCTAAATTCTCCAGTGTATGTTAATACATTTTAGTAAATAAGGACTTTTTCCCCTTGCATTTGACTGTGTTTTCTAGACATATACTTGTTACACCTCTTACAGTTCCACAGTAATAATACTCTACAGAGGGAAGAAAGAAGTTTGCATGTTAGGCAATTAAGTCCAAAATTTCTTATGATTCTCTAGCCTGGCACATACCCCACCACACACATACCCTAACTGTTTTTAGTGGTCCTAAAATCCCCATAACAAATTTAAACCATAATATGAAATGCCTGAAAATGCATAGCTTTTTTGCTGACGGTTTTACAGATACGGTTAAAAGGACCTAATAAAAAACCTAAGATATAATTTTAAACACTTTAAGAACAGGTTTTTCTACCCTTGAGGAAACATTCAGTACAAAGCCTGGCTTACTAATAAACAACTCCTTCATGATAATAGCACGCTGTGTTGAGAAAGAGAAGAAAATAAGTTAGACTTGATCTATTCCCCTCAAGGAACTTACAATTAATTTGAACACAAATAATGTCATAAGTTGCTTAACAGGCATGAGGCTCTGGGTTCTTGCCCCAGCATAGAGGGAGGGGAGAGTAATATGGGACAATATAATGCTACATGTGAACAAGTAAGTGCAAGTCTAGTCACACAAAAGGTATCATTTCTAACTCCGAAGGTCAAAGATACAGTTACTAAATGAGATAGTAAGTCAAAACCAAATGACCAGTCTATAACAAAATGAAAACAAAAGCCAAAGTTTGAAGCTATTTTAAAAGGGGGGGGGGGTTTTCACTATGTAGTCCAGGCTGGCCTGAACTTGTTGTGCAGTCCAAGCTGACCTCAAACTTGCTACCCTCCTGCCTCAGCCTCCCAAGTACTAGTTTTACAGGCATGTATCACATGCGTCACCATACCAGGCTATAATTTTGTCATATGGGTATTTTTTAAATTCCAACAGAATCTAGTACAATACTTGGTAAAAAGAAAAGGCAGGTAAGACTAAATGCTAAAATATAACATGCTGATGAAATCTGAGTATTTCTGCCAAAACAATGAACATCATAAAAGAAAAGATGGTTTAAGCCTGGGTCACAGTGGCACATGCCTGTCATCCTAGCACTTTGGAGGCTGAGGGAGGAAGACCTCAAATTTAGGTCTAGTCTGGGCAACTCAGTGAGACAGTGTCTCACAATAAAAAATAAAAGGGGCTGGGGATATACCTCAGTACAAAGGCCCTGCATTCCATCCCCAGCACCAGGAAAGCAAGAAAGAAAAAGGAAAGAAAGAAGAGAGTGGGAGAGGGAGTATGCTCAATTTTTCCATTAATTTTTAATCTCTTTAGATGTGTTTTAATATATCAGAAATAGCCACTGTTATTTAAACACAGTGAGGTTCAAATCACTGCATTTCTTAGCTTACTCCAGTTAAGCTAAAGCAAAAAATTAACTTTTTGTTTACAAAATCTCTATGAATAGCAAAATAACAAATGATGTAAGAGAAAATAAGAATGAATAACCCATGAATTAAACCCTGAATAATCAAGAATTATATATACTACCACTTTGAATTTATCCTTTTTTTCTGATAGCTACTTATACTGCAAAATATTTAGATATAACTATTGGTATGTTCATCACCTGTTCTAAACTGCTGTCACAGGATTGTTTTCCTCCAAGACTACTAAGTCTTACTCTGTCATTATTTTCACTATAGACTAAGTAACTATCTAAGTAATATACCAGAGTTCTGAGGCTTATCACATGAAGGACACACCTTTGTCTCCTAAAATCCTAACAGATTTTATACAGTAAACTATTTTATTTTTTAAAGGGAGCTAGGGAAGCACAAACCAACAGATCCGGTCATCCAGACGGAAATGAAACATGGCCATGGGATCTTTACTATTTCTGTTTATCTCTCCAAGCAGTTCATAAAAACCAAACTTGCTAGGGCTAAGGGGTGTATCTCAGTGATAACGCATGGGTTTAGCTGGGGTTTCAACCCCAGCAAAAAAAAAAAAAAAAAAACCTCTACCAAACTTGCTGTTTTCCTCCAACATGGTTTTTAAGCAGACTTCAAAGATCTCATAGCATGGGGGTAGTGACATGCCTATAACCCCAGCTCTCAGGAGGGTGAGTCAGGAGGATTGCTGTGAGTTCCAGACCAGCCTGCACAATGCGCCTACATAGGGAGTTCAAAGTCAGCCTGGACATAGTGAGACCCTGTGCCAAATAAGCCCCCTCACAAAAAAAGGTATTTCATAACTACAGTGTGTTAAGGAATCACCAGTGAGGAATGCAAAAAGTATATCAGCTCTGAAAGGCAGACAGCATTAAATATTATATGATATACTACATTCCTCTAAATATCACAAAATTAATTTTTAGTGTAAAAGAAGTCTCTCCAGTTCGAACTATTTTGCACAGCACAGGCTATATAGATTAAGCATCCCTAATACCCAAACCCAAAATTCTCTGATATCTAAAACTTTCTAAGCACCAAGAGAGTGCCCAAAAGTTTCAGATCTTGGAGCATTTCCAATTTCAGAGCAGAAATGCTTAACCAGTGAAGTCCATGCAAATATGTTAAACTCTAAAAAACTCCAAAAGCTATTGCTTCTTAGCCTTTTGGCTAAGGTCAAGTATAAAAACCTCCAAAATCTGAGCTATTAAGATAAGAGATACCCAACTTGTACTAACAGGAATTTGATAATTAGCTATAACATTTTTTTCCCTTTTTGGGAGACAGGGTCTCACTATGTAGCTCAAGCTGGTCTCAAACTACTGGCCCTTCTCCTGCCTCAGCCTCCCAAGTGCTGGGATCATAGGCACGCACTACCACACCTTGCTAGAAATTTGATAATAAGGAACCAAAGCAAATACAAAAGCAAAACCTAGGATGGGAATCTCTCAAAATAAGGTGCCTGTATTTTTAAAAGAATATTATATCAGGGTCTAACAGAAATTAAAATACACTGAACTAGACAACTCTCTATTCCAGCAAAATATTTATTTTTAAAAGTTCCTAAAAATTAAAAAGCCAGGCTGGGGATTTAGCTCATTGTTCACAAGTCTGTCTCACAAGCGCAAGGTCCTGAGTTCGATCCCTGGAACCAAAAAAATTAATTAAATAAAATTTAAAAATTATAATTAAAAAGTCACCCAACTAATTACAAGTATCCACCATGTGACAAGCACAGTGCTAGGCACTAGGAACATAATGAAACAAGTGAGCAGTGACACTTGCCGTTATGTAACTACCTATATAAGAAATGTGAAAATCTGAGTTCGATCCCCGGTACCAAAAAAAAAAAAAAGAAAATATTTAATTCTACTAGAAGACATTTACCTCTATTGACACCTAATATTATTAAATGTAAGAAGGTAATTTGCGAGTAAATCTTGTTTTTACTATTTTAATCATCAAATAAATAATTTGCCACTAAAACAGCATATCATAACAACAAAACTAATATGAAGGTTGTTTTGTAGTTTTAGAGGGGGTGATAGGTCAATGTTTAAGTTGAAACAATCTTTTTGTGTGTGTGCATGAGGTACTACAGACTGAATTCAGGGTCTTCACAATGAACTATATCCTCAACCCACTTTTTATTTATTTTACTTTTTTTTTTTGAGACAGATTCTCACACCAAGTTACCCAGGCTGCACTGAAATTTTAAGATCCTCCTGCCTCTGCCTCCCAGAGTCCTAATATCACAGGACTGCACCACTGGGAATTTTTAAAGAATGTAAACTTTAACCCATATAAAGTGCTGAAAATGTTATCTACACCTGAATAAAACCCCTCCCCAGACATCACAAATTCTTGACTTCCAAAATGCTTAAAACCATCTGACTTAAACTGAGAAGCCTAAAACTACAAGTAATGCTGAAATAAAAGTGAGTTTCAAAAGCAAAATACCCATGTCATTTCTGTTCTAATTCAGATTATTAACTTTTTTAAAAAAAATATGCTCAAAGATCACAAGGTGGAGCTCTCACCTAGTTTTCAAAGAAAACTTTGAGGTCTTTATCACATGTACCAATTCATTTTAGCTACTACAGAAGAACTGCCATTACAACAGCTTTGGAAAATAAAGCAGGGGCATGAACTTTCCATTAAGGCTCAATCACTATTTTTCTTGTGGGGGAGGGACCTACCCAGCAACAACTAGCTTCTGTTTCTCCATACTGAAAACTAAGCAATCATATTCACAGATAGGGTAAACAGCATAATACATTAAAGTAGAATCATCATGTTAGGGTTCAACTATATATAGCAGGTCCCCTTTATCCAGTTTAGCTTTCTGTAGTTTCACTTACCCTTGATTAACCATTGTCCAAAAATATTAAAGAGAAAATTCCAAAATTGAAAGTTTTTAAGTTTTAAACTGTGTGCCATTCAGAGTAGCAGGATAGAATGAGGTGCTATCCCACCTCATCCCACCTAGTACATGAGGTATCCCAGCTATGGTGCATATACAGTACCACCTGGTACTCACTTTGCTCTCTCAGTTATCAAATTCTACTGTCTCACTATCATAGTGCGTGTTTTCAAGTAACCCTTATTTTACTTAACAATGGCCCCAACCTGTAAACTTTTAACAGTATGATTGTTATAAATGTTCCATTTTACTATTGTTGTTAATATATTTCCCTAATTTAAAAACTAAACTTTATCCTTTATGTATATGTATATATAGGAAAAAACTATACAGTATATATAGCATTCAGTTCTATCCTTGGACTCAGGGATCTACTGAGGATCTTGGAACATATCTCCCATGAATAAGGGGAAATTATTCAGTAGTAGTATGTTGCCATTACTAAAACATACAGACTCAAATATGTAAAAATTATGATTGTGCTTACATGTTTGCTCCAAAAACAGACTTGCTAAATTCACTGACACTGACCCCCGCAAATTAAAGCA